AGAAATTGTTTTGTTTAATGAGATGCCACTTTCTTACGCCCATCTTGCTGGGAATGCTATCGTTTCTTCGGTACTGCGGAAATTATTTGGAAATTGACGAGTCTCCATATTTTGTCTTTATTTAGAGGGCGAATCTCGAATTTAAATTATGAAATATTCTTTCTATAATCATTTTAGCTTGAAATGAGAAAATTGTATATATATATATATCTAAGTTGAAATCGTCATAGCTCGTGTGGTCATGTGATTTTGCACATTTTATTGAATAGAAATGGTATAAATTTGAATCTAACACCCAACATTTATTTTTATAATAAATTTAAACGAGCTAATTTCAAGTCCAAAACAAATATGAATATTTAAATCGAACCGAACATTAACTTACTACTCAGAAACAATTTCAAACACAAGTCAATGTAAAACATAATTAATTTCGAACAAGCCCAATATGAGGTAAGTCTGAACTCTCACAAGCTAGGCTCATTTACTGCCCCTAACCATAATCAATGGGCTAACATCCCTTGAGAGCCATGTGAGGCCCACTACATCCTTTTATTTTAGTGTTGTAAAATTATTGTAAAAATTATTGAAAGTATATATATATATATATTATATATATATATATAGGAGATTCAAGAAGATAAATTCGTCATCCATGCCTAGCAATTTTCAAATAAGGAAATTTACATACCAAACAATTCTTATGTACCTACATATCTAATAGCCAAGCTTGATATTTATACTTATAATTAGGCATGAGAAACCTATGCATGAGAAAGTATATTTCACTTATAAAAAAATATTGATGGTGGTAATTTTTTTTATGTGATGTTAAAAATTTGAGAGATATGCTTGTAAACATGAATGTTTTGTTGTTAGATTTGTGCGGTATGTTGAAATGTAACAAAAGGTGTGATTTTCCGCTCCTGTTTATGAAGGCATGAAAGATAATTCTATAAAAGCATTTCATCTTTTCATCTCTTACAGCTTGGACCAGAAAATGGTGAAAAATGTAAAACGATTCCTAAATCGATTATGAAGGTTGAAAAGACGAATTGCAAGGAAGACCTGGTCAGTGAAGGCCAAGTGAATGGGTCCACTATTAACAGATAAATCCCTCCTCAAGTTTTGTTTGTTGAGCGATTCACTTCTCATTAAGGTAGAAGAATAGAGCATCAGATTTTGTAATTGTAATAAATTTAAGGGTTGAATCACTAAAGATGCTATAGATCTAATTCTAAAGCCATGATGTAAAAGCATCCTGTCTAAATATATATTTTGCCAAGTGATGAGCAAATTTGTATCTTATAACATTTATTCTCATATTAGGGTGTAAAATTTCCAAAGTATTTACTTCAGTAAAATATATGGAAGAATTATGGTAACTTAAAATATTCTTATATTATTAATAAGTGCGGGCACCAAGAGTGTAACTAGGTTATTTCAAGGGTGGGCAATAGCTCTCCCTAGAATTTACAATTTCTCTATATAATTAGTACAATTTAATATATTTTTTTCTTGTGCGATTTAGACAATTTAGTAATTTTCCCCTCCTCAATGCATTATTTTGCCAAATACTAAGCAAATAATTAGACATTTAGTGATTTTGCACACTTTAAAAAATAATAAAGGATTCACCCCTTGTGGGCACTAAATTTAATGCTCAAAATAGGAATATCATAAAGAATCAACTAATTGTTAGCTACTCAAATACATTTATTGCAAATATTAGAAGATGGATGGTGCAAACATTGTGAATTTAGATGAATAATGGCATGCTAGCGCTTTATATTTATTGTTTTGGCTTTCAAGGCTTAGTATAATACTCAAATATTTGTTTGGCCTACATAGAATCAAATTGAACTAGCTTGAACCATTTACCCATGTGAGAGATGAGATAACAAAAACAATTGGAATACTTATGGTGTTGGCAATCATTTTGTGATTAGATGAATCAGTTATATACTTTCTCCATATCGAAGTTCAAATCCTTGTACCATTTCCTTAATATTAATCATAAATAAAAAACCAAAGCAAAACAATTTCAATATTTTTTTTATACTTATATATCAATTCTCTACAACTTTCATTATCATCTCTTTGGTTGATTTTGATTTATTGAAGTGTGGGTTGCTCATAACACAAAATATTCTTGATAATTTGGGCTTATCTCTCACTTATCTCAACAACATTGCATGGTTTTTAAATAGGGATTTCATGGCATGATCCTCAATAACTTTCATGCTCATCATTTTGGATGATTTTGATCATACGAGATACAAATTATTCATAAACTAAAAACTAAAGAAGATTTTCAAAAATCTCTCCAACATATTTATAAAATTTGCAAATTACACTTTCATCTCTTATTAGAATCACATGATGTTTTATTAGTGGATTCATGAGTTTGACTCTTATTTTTCATGTTCATCATTTGGGTTGACTCGAGCTATTTTACAAATAAAATGTGCATAAAATCAAGAAACTAAAATATTTATTCTTTTCATTGATAATTTGTGTGTATTTACCTCATCTTTTATTGAAATAACATGATTTTTGAATGACTAGTTCAATGGCATAATCCGTTACAACTTCTATGTTCTTGCCATTTGGTTTATTCCAACTTTATGAGTGAGAATTACTCATAAATTGAGACTTTGTAGCCTCTCAATAGATGAAGCATATCTCGCTTATCTCTCATCAAAATTTGAAGTTTTTTTTTTTTTTTTTACGGTGGGCTCATGATAAAATTCTCTACAACATTCATGATCATGGATTTGATAAGTTTGGGCTCTAAACTAACTCCATTTTATCGGAAACATAAATTTTCTATTGATAAAAAATTTAGAACCCTCTCAATAAAATAAGCATACATTTCTTCTCTTCCATCAAAAATTGAATTTTAATTTTATGTGACACAAAATCAATTCCCATTTAATGAGAGGGTTGGCTAGTCTAGTATTGGGACATCTAGCTAGAGCTAGGACACCATAAGGATTGGCTAGAGCTAGCGCCTAAGGAGCCTCGACCATTTCATTTGTAGTAATTAACGGTCTGAATTGGCTAATTTGTTTTCTTACAAATGGTCAGCTAACCAAGCCAGTCTTATATAATTTCATACATTCTATCACCCCTATGTTCCGATAGGTATTCAAAACCTATTAGTAAGAATTATTTGTGTCTTGTAAATTTGTGGTTGCATTTGATTGAGTTTGAAGTTTAACTTTGTCAGCTTAAGTTTGAACTTGGTCCAACTATTGTTTAAGACATGTTAGGGTTGGGTTAAATAAACCACTTAGAATATAAGTTGGTCCAATTAATTCAAAGATGATGACTCTTAGATTTATGTTTTATCAATGTGGTTTATGTTCATAGTTTGACCAAAGTCAATTCAAATATTTTTTTTATTTGACAAAAGTTACAGTATGGATGAATCAATAGATGAGATAAGTTAAACCATTCTGAATTAGTCATTTACTTTAGTTCACAGGCCAATTATGAGTTAACCTTAAGTGAGGATTAGATTACCATAGGTTTAGGTCAACTTTATGGATTTTTTTAAGGATTGGGTTAGACTAATAGCGTGACAACTGACTGGAGCTTGGGCTAGGCGAGTGGCTAGAGAGCTTGATCCACAAGTTTTGGATTGTCTAATTTTTTTATAAAAATGATCAGTTGAGCAATCCAACTTTATATAATTCATAAATTTTGGCATTCATTTTTTTGATAACCATAAAAAACGTATTACTAAAAAAATTTTGTGCCATATAAATCTATGGGTATACTTTATTAGGTTTGAACTATATCTTTATAAAACTAATCCTACTATTATTTAATATAGGCTAGGTTTGGGTTAAATAAACCACTTAGCTAATAAGCACTTCCAATTAAGCTTAACATAATAACTCTAATTTTAAGATTTACTAAAGAAACTTTAGATATTCAATATGGTTTATGCTCAAGGTTTGACCAAGATCAAGGCAAGTAATTTCCTTATTTAGCATAAGATAAGGCTTTTGATGAATCCATAGGTGAAAAAAGTCATGCCATGAACATATCCTTAATTGAGTTGATGCATGTTTAGATTGAGTTTGAATTGGTCATTTACATTGATTCAAAGACCAATTATGTGTTGATCTTACGCGGGGATTAAATTACCACAGGTTCAGGTCAAACTTATAGGTTTTGTTAAGGGTTAGGCTAGCCTATTAGTTAGACAACTGACTAGAGCCAGGGAACCAAAGGGTTTGTCTTAGCAAGCTCTGATTTGGTTTTGAAGTCTCCTTAGGTTTGATTGCATGAAGCCTAACATTGATAGATGTGTAAATGATTGAAGTGTCAATTATTATTTTCTGTTCCAGCTATGGGTGTACAGTATAATTTTGCACCTCTTGATTTGCTAAAATGATCAACAAGCAAAATTGTTGATGGGTTCCAACAATTAAAATATCGCCTACATTAAATTTATGCTGACACTAAACTTTTCATAAATAAAGGAATGTTGATGTTCTTCCTTTATAAAGAGGTAAATAAGTATACACTTCAAATCGGCTGAATGGATTCCAGAATTGAGGGCTTTAGAAAAGGTTCGGTAGTCTTTCATGTGCTACAGTCAGACAACTAGCCATCCTTTTTTCTGCAAACCTAGCCACGTCTCACAAATTCCAGATCTGATTTCCTTTCAGGTGCTAACAGTTAATGTACAGAATTTGTAAATATAAAACTTAAAGATGTAAATAAATAAAATGCAGGAACAATCAATTTGAAACCAACATTAAAGCTGATGCAATTACAAAACGGTTGTTTACTTTCTTGATTAACATCAACTAGTTAGAATTTTTTTTCTTTGCTCAAGTTTTTGCTCGGATCTGAAAGAAGCCTGAAGTATAACACAAACAGAAGTAAAAATGGACTTGTGTACATGCAGTAATTATTGTTCGTGAGTCTTTAGGAAAGTTCCTGACAGTGAGCATGCAGAAAATGTGATTCTTACAGCTTAGTTTTCAGATGAAGCAGGAATCTGTTTCAGGGAATACAATCAGAACGGGAAGCATAATATCATTATCAGAAGGTTGATTAAACATATTTCTGATGCAGATGGAACTCTAAATCATGACAGCTTACATTTTCAACCAATAATTTCAACCTGGTTTGGAGGCAGTTCATATGATTAGGAAGAAAATTCATGAAAGGAATTGCTGATGGCAAGCTTGGCAAGTGATTTGTATGCAGGTGGAGTTGATTCTCCGGGTGGCGACCATCTTCATTCTCTCAACTTTCTCTAACTCCTCTCGAGAACGCTCCCAGACTAATCTCGCCCTCATAAATTCCTTCTCCGCCAGCTCCAGCTCCCTCCTTGTCAATTCCCTCATGCGCTCAGCATAAGCCCTCTCCTGAGCAGAAAGTCTAACCTGTTCTGCCACATGTTTCTTGAGCACTTCGGCGTTGCTCAAGTTCTCAGCATCATTATTGGGAGTCATCTTGGGAGGATTAACAAGGCTGATCGACAGGCTTAAGTCAAGCGTTGGTTCGGTATTACTCTGATCCATCGTCATTGCCAATGGCTTCAGTGCAGCAGGAGGTTCATGAGTGAAGGTAGCTTCGGGGAGCAGCTTTATTTCTCTGTTGTCACTTACCTCCATAGTAGAAGAGTGAACTGAGAGCATTGATAGTGAGGCCATAAAGACGGCATCATCCAACTTTTTATAGGGTCATTTGAGATGGCTGCAGACTATAGAAATTACTGTAGGAATATTGTATGAAAATTAATTCTTTATTAAAGCTATTATAAACTTCTTTTTCTGAAGCCGCCAAAATTTAGTTGATTGAGTTATTCAAACATTGTATATCTCAATTTTTTTTTTTAAAAAGGGATATAGTGTAGTATGTATTGCAAAAATACAATAATATTAGACTTATGAGGCATCGAGAGTCTTTTCGGGTTTCTCGGCCCGATCCATCTACAAGTGCCAAGTTCAAACTACTGAGGACAAGTTGAAGAGTATGAGTTATCGAACCGGAACCACTGTACGTAGACCATGTGGTAGATATTCCTCTCCATGGGTCAACTCCAAAAGAACATATATTTGACGACACCGCCCCAAGTCAACTTACAACCTAAAAGCTACCCCGCTAGAGAAAAGCCAACTTGTTCCGAGGTCGGATTGGTCATAGGTCGAACTCCGAGAAGGGTTTGAATAGACTGATAGAAATATGACTGTTTTCATTGATTTCTCTTTTTATTGTTAAAAGAGTTGTCAGTTTGTCCATCATCGTATAATTTTCTTTTCCGAATAACTCTCTCTTCTGATCATGTAAATGATTAGGAGAAGAGAGGAATCGAAAAAATGGGACATACAATAAAGACATAGAAACAAGAGAAAGAGCGTGGAGAACCCCGTGCGGCAAACCTCGCTAGGATAAATGAAGTATAAACGTCTAAACAAGATTGATGAAAAAAGCTTGTGTCAAATATCCACAAAATAATGTCTACCAAAACTACTCATAACCCGAGATTCAGGTGTTTTTGCTTGTAATTGGGTCCAGAGTGCTCCCAAAAGAACATATCTCACTTAGTTAGTTACATATTGGATTTTGTTATTTTGACCCCCAATTATTGAACTAAGGTAAAATTGCACTTTTGTAATGTGGTACCGCTCACCTACCACATCTCACCTACCGCTCACCTAATAGAGAGGGGTGAGGCTTAGGAGAGCAAAAGGGAAGAGATCTTAAGCTACCACAAAGAATGAGAGAATAGCTAGAGAGCTAGAGAGAATGAGAGCATCTTGAGGCCTTGTATCAAGGTGCTGCTTGAGAGGAAGGCCGTAGAAGGAAGATGAGAGCTCATCTCTATATATAAGCTATGTATTCTCCATTTCTTTTGCCTTAGTGAACTATTTGATTGATTCCCTCCCGTGCGTGGACGTAGATATCTAGTTGGATCGAATCACGTAAACGATCTGTGTTTGCTTGTGTTCTTTGCGTTTCATTTCTATGTGAGGAAGTACATATATCACAACAGATTTATCCAAAGATACACTTCATCCAAGGAGTTTTGCTTACATTTAAAGTGATAACTAGCACTGGGCTATCAAAGGACAGTTATTTCGTATGTGAATACTCCAATGTTTTCAAAGTTTCTGATAGCAACGGGATGAAGAGTGAGTCTCAGGATTCCACATAAGTAACACACTCATCGGCATACGGAGCCTGCGAAATAACCGAATCATCATGACGGAGAATCCTGATAAGTCAAAGCAAATTTAGGCCATAAGAGCAGGGACAAATCATAGTATCACAAATGGGCAACAGCTCATCGGTAATTAGGATGTCAAGATGATACCAATGAAAGCAAGAGAAGCGATAAGTTTCAAAGTGGTAGTCAAAGAAAAAGAGGAGTGGACTCTAAACAGGTAAAGGTGGCTGAGTCAGGGTACCACAGACCCATCATCCCTACTAAAACCTTAAGTCTAACTGATCGTGAAGGTAGTCAACCCAATACATCCAATAATCTTTGGTCAGCAATCCGTGAATTGTCATCAGCGAGGACCTCGATAGCCCTAAGGTCAAAAGAATGAAACTCTATCTTATGACTATCAGATGAAACTCCATGACATGGGACTTATACCCACCAAAATGGCAAGATTGCTGCGATAAAAAGAGGAGAAAGAGCTTACACTTCGTCTGGATCGGGGAGCCTCTAACGACCTGTGCACTAAAAAACCAAGCAGAAATTTGTGTTGGGCCAGTTGAATTGAAAAAGCACGGGGACTTCTCATCAGGATGTGAAAAATGATGCAGTTATCTAGAGCAATCCTTAGATATTGTAGATGTCCTATTAGTATGACTTGGGAGATAATCATGCATTCAACCGATTTTAACACCGGCCCGAAGCTCGTGCAAAAAAGTAAAAACATGTTTTAAAAGTCCCGAATCTCTTAATCCTAATTTTTAATTAATTTCAAAATTTTTATTAGGATTTTTGCAAAAAAAAAAAAATACAATTTTAACATCCTAAATTGCAATTTTGTAGCATTCCATATACATCTAGAAGGAAACAGAGGAAACAACTCATGCATGCAATCATGCAAGAAAAAGCAGCAGAACAAGCCAAGAAAAATAATAAAAAAATCGATGTCGTTGGGTCAGCGACATATCCAAGAAAAAAAAAGACGGTCGGACTACGCTTATACATATCCAACCCAAATTCGATACATTAATGAGATTTAGAATTAATGTATGGGACTCAAGCAAACAACTACTAGTCCCTGTCACGTGGTTCCACCCGCCTGGAGTCTTGGAACCCATGCTCGTACCTTATTTTTAATATAGGTTCTCCTAGGACTCGAGAAGTACAGAGCAATAAGAAAAAGACAAGAATGAAGAAGTGCACAAATGTAAGTGTGAACCACTTATGACGTGGTGCTAAGTGACATGAAGATGCCAAGAAGCAAATGTCGAGTAACGTGTCGTAGGGAGGCAAGAGTACAAGTTGTGAGCATATGAGAACATATGCTCAAAGATGCACGACAAAGGCCCATGCAAGTGATGAATGTGCTAGTGCAAAGTTATGCAATCAATACCAATGCACACGTTAAACACACATTATGTGAGTGGAATCGGCTATTCAGCCTGTTGAGTCGACTGGGGTGTTCATCGTAGCCAACAGACGCAATCGAGCTAAGGTGGCCGACTAGGCCTAAGTGAATGGTCGACTGGGTCGGGATGGTTGGTCGGACCAAAGTGATTGGTACATCGGGCCAAGGCAGTCGGTCGAACCAAAGTGGTAGGGTCAACTGAGTCAGGGCGGGCAATAGAGCCAAAGTGATCTGTTGACCGAGCTGGAGCGGTCGGTCGAGCCAAAGTAGTCGGTCGATCGAGCGGGGACGGTCGGTTGGACCAAAGTGATCTGTCGACCTGGCAGAGGCGATCAATTAGATCAAATAAAGGCTGACCGTACTGGGGCGACCGATTGAACCCAAGTGCAATGTGCAAAAAAATACCATGCAACATACATCAAATTGAAACTGTAACGTAATGCAATCATCATGCACAATAACAAGCCACACTTACTCTAATGTACTCATATAGGAACATGTGGTTTAGCTCTTGGATTTACGACATAGCCGCCTTTAGCTTTGACGAGAAAATGTGGAGAACTACGTCCTCCGATTTCTTGTAGAAGTTTTTCACCGTTCGTTAGGTGAACTATCTACAAAGTTTTTTCTGTCCTACGAGCCTCCCACAATCTTGTAGAAATGAGCTAACTACAAAATTTTTCCCACCCTTCAAGGTCAAACTATCCCAACCCCTCGAAGGAAGATTGGAAGCACCAAAACCGTGAAAAAATTAGGATTCTGACTCGCTTATGTGTAGATCTAAGGCTTATTACGGGAAATCACTTTGGCTTTGCAAAGGATGTGTCCAACGAATGCTTTCCTAACAAAGGTCTTCCTTCAAGAAATAAATGGCCAATCCAAAGATGTGTGGCCGTGTCGACTAGTGTCGACCGGTTAACTTACCTCGTGTGGGCGATCGAACCCACAACACCTAGCCAAAATCTAATCCTAGAGCAAGCTAAAGAAGAAAATGCGAGGATTGAGGAGGTTATTTCATCGCAGTGTTTGATCGAAGTCCAATCATTCTCTTCGTCAGGAAGAGATTTCGACAATGCTCTAAGTACTAGCCTCCGCTCCCCCTCGAGTGATGAAGCTCTCCTCGCAAGGAGTATTACGATGTCAGCGCAACACCACGATTTGCTCTTCCTCTCTATTTCTCGAACCAAGACGGTGGCAGAGGAATAAAATGTGAAAGGAAGGAGAAGAAAGGAAAATGGAGAAAAGGAGTTAGAAGAAGAAGAATGGAGAAGCTCTCTGAGAACTCTCCAAACAGTCATGTGATCACTTCTCAAGCACTTTGCCTCTCCCCATGTTTCTCGAACTAGGCCAGGGATCAGAAAGAAAAAGTGAGAGGTGGAAGAAAGAAACAAAAAGAATAAAGAAGAATCTGGGTGAAGAAGCTCTCCCATAACTCCCCAAAACTCTCCAAGACTCTGTGATCGCTATTAGCTCTCCCAAGCAAAATCAGTGAACTCCCCCTAGATCTCGCCCCGCAAAAAGGATTTTCATATAGGTTTGAATGACCATTTGCCTCTTTTGGCAAGCGCCTAGGTTAGCTCAGAGGCTATTTTTGGCTTAGGACCGGTCTAATGGCTTGTCCTAACGATTGGAAGGCATCAGAACGGAAAAATGAGGACCGAGCAATGAAACAAGCTGATTATGTGTGGCAAGGTCACGCTTATGTGGGTGTGATCACGCCTAGCCTACTTGGGATTGTTTTTTTTTCTGGTAATTCAGGTGGCAAGACTCGGAAGGTCCTCCCTAAGCAAAAAAGACATTCCGGATGCATCTGTGTTGTCCGTTCTGCCATCTGGAGTCATCTAAGAGAAAATTCTTCACGAGTAAGACAATTTAGGGCCTGATTTGTTCGTGTTTTGTCAAACAAAGCTCATCCAGTCAAGACCGTTCCATCAATGTAATGCTGGTCGGCCCTCACCTCATCGACAGTCGAAGCCTAGCAAAATAATCTCGGCCACGTACCAGAGGGTCGAAGACGGATGTCTTGAGCCTTAAGGAGTCATATGTGTGTGATACATACCACAAGATTGTTCGAATGGACAGCTTATACACGTGGCATCAAAAATTGACGTTGATAATAAA